TATATATATATATATATATATATATATATATATATATATATATATATATATATATATATATATATATATATATATATAAATATATATATATATATATATATATATATATATATATATATATATATATATATATATATATATATATATATATATATATATATATATATATATATATATATATATATATATATATATATATTACAACAACAATAACGTACTCCCTCCGTTCTCAAAATCACTTCCTCTTTCATTTTTTCCACTTCCAACAAAACACTTCCCCTTTCTATTAAAAAACCACTTTTACCCTTACTTTTTCATACCCTACCTATCACATCATACTTTTTCTCTAATAATCTATCTATCACATCTTACTTTTACCCATCACATCAGGGCAAAATTGGAAATCAACTATAATTTAACACTTCCTTATTTTTGCCCCCAAATCAAATGGGAAGGGTTTTTCCAAACGGAGGGAGTATCATTCATGTTCGATCCCCCGAGAATAAGGTTGGGGAGACATTTTCATGTAAACAAATTAATAAAAGAAATAAATTAAAATAATGTTTAACATCAAATTGCAAAAATGCTTATCTTACTATTAAGAAATTCATTAAGTCCAAGTTGATTTTTTTTAAATATACAAAGAATCCATTTGCTATACAAAATTTAAACTCTTGAATTAGAATTGGAGACAATAATTCTGATTCTGCAGTTTGGTATGTAGCACAACAATATTTGGATTTGGAATTGATAGTGCCAAAAATGAATTGGAATTGAAGAATTCAATTACTTCCAAATCAAATCTATATTCTCAATTCAATTCCAATTACGTCAATTTCGTATACCAAATGAACCCGAAGTATGCTCTTTGTGTCATAGAGTATTTATCTTGCATTGGTTTTTTGTAGTTAACCATGATCAATCTTTAACTTATGATTAAATAGATCTGATAAATAATATTTTTGTGTATTAAAATCTAATATCAATTATATTTTAATTATTTTATGATTAAAGTTAGCAAATTTTAACTGCAAAAAAAATAATAAAATAGACAAATTTTAGAATCAAAGTAGTATAAATGTGCCCATAGAGGTCAAGGCTCTTTGGACCCGTAGGTCTCTTCGTGGGTCCGCCGATGGTCCTACAAGGATTCTGTGTGTTGCTAAATCAGTTTCAAAATATAGCTATTAATTAATTAATTACTACCCCAATTAAGTTCCATATTATATTAGTTAAAGAATAAAACCACCACTATCTTCTTTCACTATCAACATCGTACATAATGCTGTCTATTAAACCGTACTTGATTTAATTTGTCCTTTTCATTTGGGCACGTAATCTTGCACACAATGCATCCGGCAAACGTTTGTGTGGGGATTAATTGTGGTTAAATCATACAGTAATTGCCCAATTATATTAAAACACAAAAATCAACCAAAAAACAAGCTGCTCGGGAATTCCCTTGTTTTGGCAGCAGAAACTAAAACATGAACTCCATTTATTGATTAAAATGAGAGAAAAAATTGGAATAGAAGTAAATTTGAAAAAAAAGACATCCTATATGATTTTAAACCTCAGTTGATATGATATTATCCGGAAATATTATAGCATGACCCGACTTGTTTTTAATAAATACTACCTCCGTCCCAGAGTATTTGTCCACTTTCATTTTTGCACACCATCCAATACACTTCTTTAATCCATTTTATCTTGTAATTTGTATATTAAAAATTTATAGAAATTATATATTAATAATCTATATGTTAAGACAGACCAAACAAGATCACACATGACTATATTTAAGCTTACACATTGAGTGTTGGAGTTCCCACATCGGAAAATAAAGATGAGTATCACTTGCATATATTGAAGGGTGAAGCCCTACCTATCAGCTTAAGCTTTTGGGTTAGAATTGTGGATCCCGACTTTATACACTACAAGAAAACGCCAAAACAACGACGGATTGCAGCGACGGAATTTCGTTCGACGCTAGTAGCGACGGCTTTAGCGACGGAATAAAACGCCAACCAAGAGTAATGACGGAAATAAAGATCCGTCGCTCGGTATTGGCGGGAGGTTGTGCGCGGCTTTTTTGACGACGGATTTACCGACGGAAATTTGCGTCGTTAGTTTTAGCGACGGAATATTTCCGTCGCGAACGGAATTTTATTGAAACGCTGCGTTTTGGCTTGGCGACGGAATATATCCGTCGCTACATTCCGTCGCTTAAAAACAGATCTATACCCTTCCTTAGCCAGTTTCAACGATTTGCAGAGAGAAATAAAAGGTCCGCCGCCGAGTCGAAGGTCTCTGGTCTGCTGTCCAAATCGCCGGCGATTCTCCTCCGCCGCGCCGTCCGCTCGTCGTCTCCTCCCTCCACCATCAATCGCCGCCGCCGGTCCTCCTTGCCGTCCGGTCATCGCCGGTTCTTCATCCCAGGTTTTTTTTCAACTTTTCATCTCTTATTCAAATTATATTTGTGAATTATTTTTTTTATTATAATTGTATTGTTTACATTAGGGTTTTTAAAATATCATATTTTGTTTATAATTACAAATTTAGTTTTAATTTTATAATTATTTAAGGTTAGGGTTTGTTATTCAAAATTTAGTCATTTGTTTTAACAAATTTAATTATATTCCTTAAACTTTTAGTGAACCAATATTGTGCTTACTAATTGTTTAATGTTACATGAGG